ATTTTAATAAATTTTAATGTAGATTAGATTTCTAAACTTATGATCAAACAATGAATACAAACTGCAAGAACCAAAAAAAGCACACTTAATGAATAAACATTAACATAATGATATTGATATTACTTAGTTTCTGGACAGTTATTTAGTTTTATAAAGTAAAATTCATGCATCCAAAGGTAAGTTAAATTTATAAAAGTGTGCTTTATAATTGCATAATACTTCTTTAGAATAAAGTAATACTTCTTTCCTTCTGGAATTGGAATGCAGTGCAGGAAAATGAAAGAAGGAAAAAAAAAAAAGCTTTTTTCTTACAAAGCAATAATAAAGCCCAAAGCTAAACTGTCCCTTCCCCTCCCAGCAATATCCTCAATTCCCCAAATTAGCAGCCCCTCATTATGCTACATAAAACATTAATTTCTTCATTAAAATTTACAAGTTAGCCCAAAAATCATACCAAAATATATCTAACAATACACAAATTTAGCTAAATAGTCTAAAATGCTTCAGAAAACAGTTGCAGTAATTTGATTATGTAACAGAGTAAAACTGTTAGGGCAATTTACAGTTAAATGTGAATACAATGAATACTTCCCATTCTTTAATATTCTTCCCATGCATTTCAATGTCAAGGAGCCATCATAAAGCCATCAGCTATGGACTTATGGTTTATGAGCTTCCCTGTGACCCATAATAGAGCTCTTGAGGATTTGAATTACAATGGATAAGAATACTCTTTTCTGTCAAGACCCAAGCACTTTGTTGTCATTTTTTCATTATTAATCCTTCTTGACATCCCTACCAGGTTTGTGAACCTCAAAGCAGATTGCAACTAATAGATAGGGAAGATGGCTGGGCACAGTGGCTCATGCCCAGGCCAAAGCAGAATTGCTTGAGCCCAAGAGTTCAAGATCAGCCTGAGCAACGCAGTGAGACCCCATCTCTACAAAGAATATTTTAAAGATGTTTAAAAAGAAGAGGAGGAAGATGCAGGCTTAACCACGAAGGTATCAGCCCACCTTAGATATAATATCAATACAATAAATGATGTTCTTCATTCTAAAACTAAGTTCTTTCTAATGAAATCCTAGCAAATAATTGAATGATCTACTCTGCAGGAGTAAGGATTTCTGCTGGAAGTCATAGAGAACATTGACTTTATTTCCCTTGCTATAAAGTTTGCATATGGAGAGATGGGGAAAAATAGGTGCTCTGATTGGTTTTCGTATAAAGTAAGCCAAAACATATAACCTTAAATACTGTAGGAAAGAGATCATTTTCTTCATAGACAAATCAGTACCAATCAGATGTCATTAGGACTCCCCCAGACAAAGAGGTAAAATCTCAATCTGTAAAATGTTTACTGAGCATGGTCTTTGCTGGTTTCCAGAGTTCTTTACCATCTAGGCAGTTGGCCACACACATTCATTAGCTATATAACTTACCTATATTAATCTTACAGTGTGAAAGACTCAAACTCGCCAAAATTACTAATTATATATCATGAACCCTTGGGATCCCTCATGAATGGTCTAATTCAGAAAATGCCCAATTCATGGATGATAAATTCATGAACAAATAATCTTCCTAATTTATTTCCCCTCTTCTATTCATGAATGGAAAGACAAGAAAAACTATTCAGAGAACAGGATCTCAAGAACAGAATACTTTACTATTTTTCTCTTCTTTCCTAAAAACTCTATTTTTCTATTAGCTGCTATAAGAAGAGTCAAGATAATACAGCTAACAAAATGAGCAAAGCAGGTTAAGGAAACTCCAAAGGCAGGGAGGGGGAAAAGCACTAAATGTAATAGCTACTTTGGAAGGAAGGCATTAACTCCTACACTTAATGCTATAAAAGCACATCTGCCAACACCAATGGCAGCCACAGCTGATGGAGGGGAAAAACCTATTGTGTATCTAGCCTAAGAGTAGAAGCAGTAATGAGTAACAGTAAAGAATTAACAGGCATGGTTTCAAAGAGTATTCAGGGTGTGTATTCTGTCAACAGTGTGTATGCTTAATGTGTAGATTTAATTGCTTTATTCTTTATAACAAGCCAAAATATCAAAATTGCACACAGCTAGTCTCAAGTTCTTATCCGTTAGATATATACTGACATATTCATATGATTAAAATGACTGCAATTTATTTCAGAACACTCAATGTGTAAAGAATATTTATAGTTTATGATGGAGGATGTATACTTTTGTTTTAGTTTAGAATTTTCCAAAAGTAAAAATTTATATTTTAAAAAAATGTCCTTAGGCCAAGTGTTGTGGCTTACACCTACAAGCCCAGCAGTTTGGGAGGCCAAGGTGGGAGGATCCCTTAAGCCCAGGAGTTTGAGACCAGCCTGGGCAACACAGAGACCTTGTCTCCACCCAAAATTTAAAAATTAGCCAGGCATGGTGTGTGTGCCTGTGGTACCAGCTGCTAGAGAGGCTAAGGTGGAAGAATCACTTGAGGCTGCAGTGAGCTGTGATTGGGGAAAAAAAAACAAAACAAAACAAGAGGCGGCCAGGTACAGTGGCTCATGACTGTAAACTTTGGGAGGCCAAAGCAGGCGGACCACTTGAGTCCAAGAGTTCAAGAACAGCCTGAGCAACATGGCAAAACCCCATCTCTACAAAAAATACAAAACACTAGCCAAGCATGACGGCGTACGCCTGTGGTCCCAGCTACTTAGGAAGTCAAAGCTGCAATGAGCCATGATTGTGCCACTACACTCTAGTCTGGGTGACAGTGAGACACTGTCTCAAAGAAAAAAAAAAGACAAAAGAAAGAAGTTACATTCACTCATGTATTTAGTTGTACCTGTATATTTTTATATATTACATAAATATGTAGTAGCTAATATTTATTCCCCAAAAGGTTGGACAGGTTCCCCAGCAAAGGGCTTTACAGCAAAGCTCTTCTAGTACCTAGCAGGCAGTTTTCCTGTGGCCACCTCAGGTTACAGCACCAATGAGCTTTGTCATCCACTGAACCAGAGCCCTGCTTTCTCTTTACCTTTGAATAGTTAATCCCTGGTTAATCTGTTAATAGCTTCCAGCTGAAAACGTTCCTGTTCAAATTACTGTGTAGTTTCTGGTCTTCTGATCAGACCCTAAGAACTATAGAACTGTATAGCTCAGAGGCTTACAGAAAACATTCAAATAAACTATCAATGCCCAAAATCTCAGAAACAGTTCCATGAAGCTGAGTGGGAGTAGCTATGGGAGCATATTTGGGAGGCTGCCGTTTGAATCACCTCTGACACTTCCTGACCAATGGCATAGTTTGTAATGACAAGAAGAAATATGGGCTCGAGTTGGGAGAAGCTTAAAAACAAACTGGGGCACTAGGTGTTCTTTGTTTCTCTGCAAACTGTAAAATCAACATCATCAGGCAAAAAGGAAAGCGCTTTTTTAAAAGGCTATTTTATATCCTGATGGCTAATGACAGCCATTTTGCCATAAATGTTACTTTGATTCAAGGTAACATAGAATTCTGAATTGTTTCCCTTAGAGAGAAACTGAAGTATACCATCAAAATGTACACAAGTGGACACATCTCTCTGAATCCTTGGTTTTATTTCTAGTGTCTCAGAGGAAACAAAATATCTATTTCTTCAGTATTTAGATTCATACAAACACACAGTATAATCCAGAATCAACACACGAGATACAATAATGAGAATATGGGCTCTTTTATTTATTTTTTTTAGAGACAGAGTTTCACAGTGTTAGCCAGAATGGTCTTGATCTCCTGACCTCATGATCCGCCCACCTCGGCCTCCCAAAATGCTGAGATTACAGGCATGAGCCACCGCGCCCAACCAGAATACGGATTCTTACAGAAAACCCAATAAACAAAATATCTACCCAGTATATAGATTGATTTTTTAAAAAGCAAACTGTCTACAGAAAAACAAATGAGTAAAAGTTTACAAAATTGTTTTAAAGGTTCTAACAGTACTTCAAATTTGGAACAAGCAAGTCTGTGTTGAAGCCTCAACCCTACGAAACAACTGCCACATTATCACTGGTATTTATGTAACAAACAGAAATCAGGTTATATTTTAGCCACAGAAAACTGAACAAGGAGGTGAGACGTCTCTCAACAAAATTCATCTTACTATTTTTAATTTTATGAAATAACTGTTTATTGGTAAACAGTATGGGAATTAACTTTTCTCTACTTATAAATGACCAGATACCACAGCTATAGAATTTATCTATAATATCAATAACTTTTCATGTCTTGTTTCAACTGTTCCAAAAAGAACTAAGCCACTTTAAACAACTCTACAATGCCTTTGCTACTAAGTATACCAGAAACAGTTCTTAACCTCTCCTGGCCTAAGTAATGTCCTCCTCCCATTTCACCTGAAACATCAAAACTTCTGTTTTTTTCTTCCCTATTACTCTATGGGAAATTCTATCTTTTTTTTTTTTTTTTTTTTTGGAGGCAGAGTGTTGCTTTGTTGCCCAGGGCCAGAGTGCAGTGGCACGATCATGGCTCACTGCAGCCTGGACCTCCGGGCTCAAATGATCTTCCTGCCTCAGCCTCCCAGCATATTTGGGAGGCTGGAGTTTGAATCACCTCTGACACTTCCTGAGGTGATTATTATTAATGTACAAGGTATTAGTAATGCCTCATATATTCATAGAACATAAATTCATGGAGCCATAGGCCTGCACTACCATGTTTTGGTTTTTGTTTTTGGTGAAGATAAGGTCTCACTATGTTATTCAGGCTGATCTCAAACCTCAGGCCTCAAGTGATTCTCCTGTCTCAGCTTCCCAAAGTGTTGGGGTTACAGGTGGGAGCCACCATGACCAGCCTAATCTATCTTTAAAATTACTGCATTACTGTATAAAATAATAATAATGGAATACACAGTCATAGATAATGGTGAGGGGAAAAAATTTAAGGATCTTTTTCTTCCTATATTTTCTAAAACGCTGCTATGCTTTATAGCTATAAACAGGCATTTAAAGATTGTAATGCTTTTCTTTAAAAAAGTAATTCATGTTTCTAATTAATTCTCAGGATTCCATACTTTGGATAAATGATTGTCAATCTTACCACCTAACTTCTTCTTTTTTTTTTTTTTTTTTGAGACGGACTTTCACTCTTGTTACCCAGGCTGGAGTGCAATGGCGCGATCTCGGCTCACCGCAACCTCCACCTCCTGGGTTCAGGCAATTCTCCTGCCTCAACCTCCTGAGTAGCTGGGATTACAGGCACACGCCACCATGCCCAGCTAATGTTTTTGTATTTTTAGTAGAGACGGGGTTTCACCATGTTGACCAGGATGGTCTCGATCTCTTGACCTCGTGATCCACCCACCTCGACCTCCCAAAGTGCTGGGATTACAGGCTTGAGCCACCGCGCCTGGCCTCCACCTAACTTCTTAAAGGGGTTAGTACCTGAATCTTTCTCAGCTAGGAGCTAACCACTTCTTTTTAAACATTTTATTGGTTGATTGCAGCAAAACCCACATAACATAAAAGTTACCATTTTAACCATTTTTAATCAGTAGCATTAAGTACATTGACAATGTTGTCACCATCATCCATTTTCAGAACTTGTCTACGTCTCTAACAGAAATTCTGTACTCATTCAATAGTCACTCACTATCTACGAACTTACCTATTCTAGGTATTTCATGTAAGTGGAGTAATATAATTGTACTTTTGGGTCTGATTACTTCATTTAGCATAACGTTTTCAAGGTTCATCCATACTGTAGCATGTATCAGAATTTTCTATCTTCTTAACACTGAATAATATTCCATTGTATGCACGTACCTTATTTTGTTTATTCATTAATATGTTCATAATATTTCAGTTGTTACCACATTAATAAATTTTAAAATTAACCAAAACTGGTGTTGAATAATCAGAGCAAAATTCTTCCAAATGTGGGAGCCAAAGGAAAACTATAAAGAGAGAAGAGCTCCAAGTCATGTATTGAGGTCTGAGGAATGAAAATAAAACAATAAGTAGTCACACACCTTTGAGAAGCATAGTATGTGTTTCATTCTGTAATCCTTCTAAAAACTTTTCAGAGTATAAGACTACCAGCTGGGCACTGGTGGCTCACGCCTGTTAATCCCAGAACTTTGGGAGGCCAAGACAGGAGAATTGCTTGAGTCCAAGAGTTTGAGACCAGTGTGAGCAACATGGTGAACCCCTTGTCTCTACAAAAAATACAAAAATTAGCTAGAGGTGGTGGCACATGTACCTCTTGTCCTAGCTACTCAGGAGGCTGAGGTCACGGGATTGCTTGATCCCCAAAAAACAAGGCTGCAGTGAGCCGAGGCGCCACTGCACTCCAGCCTGGGTGATACAGCGAGAGCCTGTCTCAGGAAAAAAAAAAAAAAAAAGTCTACCATTTGACACATCACTGCAGCAAGGGAATAATCTATAACTACATATGAAAATGATCTTTCAACCAATAATACCTCATGTGTTCATTAGCAAGCAGGTTTTATTTATTTATTTATTTATTTATTTTCTTTTTCTTTTTTCAGGTAGTTGTAAACAAGTAGGTTTGAAATACTATGCACCATATTTATGCACCATATGCTGAGGGGTGGGGGAAAGATAATGTCACTGCCTCTGGAGCTAGCTTAATGTAAGGTACAGAGAAATAGTATTTTTTTTACAATCACAAAAATATATAATTTCAGACCTTAATGCTATGAAGAACCTTAATGCTGTGAAGAACATGCTGGGAGCAGTGGCTCACACCTGCAATCCCAGCACTTTGGGAGGCCGAGGAGGGTGGATCATTTGAGGTCAAGAGTTCGAGACCAGCCTGGCCAACACAGTGAAACTCTGTCTCTACTAAAAATACAAATATTAGCCACTCGTCATGGCACGCGCTTGTATTCTCAGCTACTTGGGAAGCGATGGCAGGAGAATTGCTCGAACCCGGGAGGCGGAGGTTGCAGTGAGCCAAGATCGCACCATTGCACTCAGCCTGGACGACAAGAGCAAAACTCTGCCTCAAAACAAAAAACAAAAAACAGAACACTAAAACAAATCAAAATAGGTAGATACGATCAAGACCACTAAGTCAGGCAAAATTCTCTCTGAAAAAGAGGTATCCAAATGGAGACCTGAAAGACTTAACTGTCAAACAGCTAAGTGAAAGCACATCCCCTGCTAAGGGTGGTCAGCACATACAGAAGCTGAGAGGGAAAGTAGCTTCCTTATATATGTGGGAGTTAACAAAACAGAAATGATATTTAAAGCTATGAGAATGGAAATAAAAATTGCGTTTAAATTGGAGAGAAGGTTATTAGCACGAATGCTGAGAGAGAAAGCTTAGAGAGGAAGGAAGGAAGGTAGGAAGCTTCATGGTGTCTCTTAAGTTTCAAGAAGGAAGCAATACAATAGCCTCCTATGTTAAATAATTCTAAGAGGCAGAAAAGGCAAGAAGTAAAAATCCTGTAGATTTAGCAAAATAAAAGTTACTGGTGACGTAGAAAGAACTGCTTTGTATTCCCATAACTGCACAACCACAATATAGTTTAACCAGGAAAAGCTTCTTTAAATTGTCACCAAGAGAACCAGAAGCTATCTGACGATCCACATACTTTACTACCTTTTTTAAAAAAAACTCTTCCATTTTTTCCTGCTGTTGTTTTGTTTTGTTTACTAATCTTTATTTACTATTCCTGCTTGCTTCCTGGAAATAATCATGGTAAGTTTAAAGTCCCAGAGGCTTACTATGTTAGAGCTGGAAGATACTGACATTTAGACCTACTGACCTCACATGATCTGCCTGCTTCGGCCTCCCAAAGTGCTGGAATTACAGGTGTGAGCCACTGCGTCCAGCTCACAAAAAGTATTTTTAAAAGCAAATTCTTCAAATGTATTTTTTTTTGAGATGGAGTCTCGTTCTGTTGCCCAGGCTGGGGTGCAGTGGCACAATCTCAGCTCACTGCAACCCCCACCTCCTGGGTTCCAGCTATTCTCCTGCATCAGACACTCAAGTAGCTGGGATTACAGGCACATGCCACCATGCCTGGCTGATTTTTTTTTTAATAGAGATGGGGTTTCACCATGGTTGCCAGGCTGGTCTCAAACTCTCGACCTCAAATGATCCACCTACCTCAGCCTCCCAAGGTGCTGGGATTACAGGCATGAGCCACTGCATCCAGCCTTCAAATTTTATTGTTTTAATTTTAAAATGTTTACAGTCAATTTTTCAGGGATGTGTTATATAAAGTAAGATACACTAATTTATAATTCACTTTTTCATATCCATGAAGCAAACCTAATTTATTTCAGCCTACAGGAGTTTCACTATAAATCAAATTTAAAAAATGTAAACTGCTTTAGAGATAGCCAATTTAAAAACTCAATTAGAATTTCATGTCAAAGAAAAAAAAAATGAGTGCCCATAGTCCTGGCTTTAGGAGGCAGAGATGGGAGAATCAGTAAGGCCAGGAGTTGAAGTACACCATGATCATGGGCAATATAATGACACGCTATCTTTTTTTTTTTTTTTTTTTTTTTGAGACAGAGTCTCACTCTGTCGCCAGGCTGGAGTGCAGTGGCACAATCTCAGCTCACCACAACCTCCGCCTCTCTGGTTCAAGCAATTCTCCTGCCTCAGCCCCCCGAGTAGCTGGGATTACAGGCACTTGCCATCATGCCCAGCTAATTGTTGTATTTTTAGCAGTGATGGGGTTTCACCATGTTGGCCAGAATGGTCTCGAACTCCTGGCCTCGTGATCTGCCCACCTTGGCCTCCCAAAGTGCTGGGATGAGCCACTGCGCCCAGCTAGAGACTCTATCTCTTCAAAAAAATAAAAATAAAAAGGGCTGGGCACAGTGGCTCATGCCTGCAATCCCAGCACATTGGGAGGCCAAGACCGGTGGATCACCTGAGGTCAGGAGTTCGAGACCAGCTCGACCAACATAGAGAAATCCCGTCTCTACGAAAAATACAAAATTAGCCAGTGTGGTGGCACATGCCTGTATTCTCAGCTACTCGGGAGGCTGATGCAGAAGAATCGCTTGAACCTGGGGGGCGGAGGTTGCAGTGAGCTGAGATTATGCCACTGCACTCCAGCCTGGGCAACAAGAGCAAAACTTTGTCTCAAAATAAAAGAAAAAAGAAAATGAGAAATAAAATCTAGAACGTGCAATGGCTATTCATCAGGAAATATATTGTCCATTTACAAATATTTGGGCATAGCTTCCTGTTTCTCAGTGGGAACACCACTGGTACCTGAGATGAAAAACTACTCAATGTGAAGCAATATCTGTCACAATGCCAGACATTTAGCATTCCTGTGACCTGCCCACTAAATGACACTGTGTTCCCCCACCACAATCACTGTATAATCAAAAACAGCCCCCTCAAAATTCTGAACTCTAAGAGTGTTACACAATCCCACCCATAGCTGAAAACCACTAGTAGTTTGAAAGCACTACAACTTTTCCTATCTTAATGAAAATCTAACATAGACTCCCAATTTTCTGTCTAATATACAGAGCATACTTAATATAAGTTTAACATTTCCTGATGATAGAGAGCCTTGATTAAAACATTGACTATTGGCCGGGTGTGGTGGCTCACGCCTATAATCCCAGCACTTTGGGAGGCTGAGCCGGTGGATCCCTTGAAGTCAGGAGTTCAAGACCATCCTGGCCAACATGGTGAATCCCCGTCTCTACTAAAATACAAAAATCAGCCAGGCAGAGTGGTGCATGCCTATAATCCCAGCTACTCAGGAGGCTGAGGCAGGAGAATTGCTTGAACTGGGGAGGCAGAGGTTGCAGTGAGCTGAGATTGTGCCACTGCACTCCAGCCTGGGCAACAGCGCAAGACTGTCTAAAAAAAAAAAGAACACTGACTATTATGTATTATCGTGATTTTTTTTTTTTAACAAGACAGAGTCTTGCTCTGTCACCCACGCTGGGGCGCAGTGGCACCTTCTTAGCACTCTGCAGCCTCAAACTCCTGGACTCAAGTGATCCTCCCACCTCAGCCTCCCAAAGAGCTAGGATTACAAGTGTGAGCCACCATGCCTGGCCTGTTATTGTAATATAATAAGGTTCTTAGAAATTAAAGTGTGTTTGCCGGGCGCGGTGGCTCACGCCTGTAATCCCAGCACTTTGGGAGGCCGAGGCGGGTGGATCACGAGGTCAAGAGATCGAGACCATCCTGGTCAACATGGTGAAACCCCGTCTCTACTAAAAATACAAAAAATTAGCTGGGCATGGTGGCGCGTGCCTGTAATCCCAGCTACTCAGGAGGCTGAGGCAGGAGAATTGCCTGAACCCAGGAGGTGGAGGTTGCGGTGAGCCGAGATCGCGCCATTGCACTCCAGCCTGGGTAACAAGAGCGAAACTCCGTCTCAAAAAAAAAAAAAAAGAAATTAAAGTGTGTGTTATCTTTAATCCTGTATTAATGATGCAAGTCTATTATATTTGAACATGATAAGATCATTATTTGACATATATACTGCTTTACAGTTCTTTTTCATTTTACCCTTTTTAGCCAGTGTTATTTCTTCCTAGACTATCTGTGGGCCTCTAGGACTCTCCCTGTATAACAATAACTTTTATCACTAATGACCAAGTTTATTAAATCAGAAGCCTGAAATAACAGATGAAGGCTTGAAGATGGCTCCAGCCCTTCCCAAAATTTAAAGTGCATGAGCTTAAAGATAGCTACGTTCCTCCTAAGAATTTAACTTACTTCTGGTTTTAAAACTATGTAATGACTTAAAAAATTCCAAGAATCTGACAGCTGAATAAATCATTAACAAATGATTAAAATTTAATAAATAATTTTCATGACTAAAGTATACTACTATATACTACCAAATACTCTGATCAAGTTTTATTATTACTAATAATATTTATAAATAACTCACCTGATTTCTTTTAGTCCTTCTCTCTGGATAACCTGAAGAATTTCTTTATGACTCATGGGTGTATTGGGGTATTTTTCTAAGACCTGAGGAACAAGTACGTAATAATAAATTATTTCTTAAGTTCTTATAATTCTATATGTAATTATGTTTCTTATAATTGTACCTTAATAATTATATCCAGACCACACATATATGGACTTTTCATTCCTTATATTTCAGAATAAAAGAAAAATTAACAATATATATCAGATCTTCTTTCTCTCAGTCATAAATAGTAAATCAAATCCTGAAGCAGAAATTGGCCAAAAAAGCTAAAATTAATAACCCAATTATTCACTACTAATAAATATGTAATTGTTTACCTTCTGCCTCCATCCCCACATCCCTTCACTACCTGTGATCTACTGCAGGCATGTTAAATAATCCATTTCCTGGTAATTGTATAGCAAAGCCTAGTAAATCAAAGGTTTACTTAACCAAAACAAGTAAACAATATAATTATAACAAAATTAAAGTGACATCTATGTTCTGGTTCCAGTGAAGAGTGGGCATAGCCCATTCTGTCTCTCCCACTGAATATAAATAAAAACCTGGACAGAATGCATGCAGCAGCTATGTGAGGACTTGGGAAATAGCAGGTGGCTTGGGGAGAAAACCACAACTAGGAGTACCACTAGTTCAGCAGTGATTTTCCCGATTTTGTTTCCCTCTGGTACCTCCCCTGAGCCTGACTCAAAGGCAACCCAAAACCAAGAAATGCAGGGTAAGTGTAGGCAGAAAGTTCTCCAGAAGAAAAATCTCGTGTTTTGGTCTGAGGCACAGTCAAGAGGACATTTCTAAATACTGGATAGAGAAAGGGAAAATTCTCTGGGTTTCTCCCCCCTTTTCTTTTTCCCTGCTCTTACCGAGGCAATCCCATGGGAGCAGCTGTGGTAACACCAGCAGCAGCTAGACAGGGACCTAAAACTCCAAGAAAGCGGAAACTCGCAAGGGGTCCTACAAGCGTGGGAGGAATCCCTATGATTTATCTTGGTTTTGGGCACAGTGGCTCACACCTGTAATCTCAGCACTTTGGGAGGCCATGGTGAGCAGATAACAGATAACTTGAGGTAAGGAGTTCAAGACCAGCATGGCCAACATGTTGACACCCCATCTCTACTAAAAATACAAAAATTAGCCAGGCGTGGGGGTGAGTGCCTGTAATCCTAGCTACTCAGTAGGCTAAGGCAGGAGAATCGCTTGAACCCAGGAAGCGGAGGTTGCAGTGAGCCAACATCATGCCACTGCACTCCAGCCTGGAAAACAGTCTCAAAAAAAGAAAAAAAAATTAGCCGGGCCTTTTGGCATATGCCTGTGATTTTAGCTACTAGAGAGACTGAGGCCAAGAATAGCTTGAACCTGGGAGGTGGAGGTTGCAGTAAGCGGAGACCATGTCTCTGCACTCCAGCCTGGGCAACAGAGCAAGATCCTGTCTCAAAAAAAAAAAAAAGTGCCTAACATACAATTCAAACTTACTCAACATATGAAGAGTAAGGAAATCAGTAACTCACAAGAGAAAAGACAAGCTATACACAATAAACCCAAGGTGGCACAGATGTTGGAATTATCAGACAAAAGCAGCTATTTTAACTATGCTTCAAGATGTCTGGTGAATATTCTTGAAACAAATAGCTAACAGAGTCTCAACAGATATACATGCATATTTTGTTCATGTTTTATTTTCTTGTTTACACTTACATTTCTATATGAAACAAAAATGCAATAAAGAGTAATATTTCCAAACATAACACAGCAAGATAAGTGGCAGCCAACATTCAAATCCAAGTCTTGCACCACGATAACACACTGTCTCCTGTGTTTGCAGCTATTTTCTCATTTGGTCAGCCATAAAATCCAACACATATTTCTGCTGATGATCTTCTTTGATCTCTCTGCTACATCTGACATTATCAACTGTTCCCTTCACAGACATCACACTCCTAAACTTTTCTTTTTCCCAAAAATATTTTTCTCAGTCTTCTTTGTAGATGTCTTTTTCTATGCCTATCCCTCAAATATTTTATAAACATCCACTTACCCCTTTTGCTTTTCACTCCACCAAAATCTCCCTGAATAACATTATCCGCACTAAGCCTTCACCACTCATACTTTGATGGATCAAGCCGCAGTCTACTAAAAACTATTAAAAACCTGTAATCGTTGCATATCCCATAAGCATTTCAAACTTCAGTTGTCCAAAGTTGAACTTACTGCCTTCATCAAGTTAAGGCCCATAAAGAAAACCGAACCTTTATTTATTGTCTATATGTTAAAAATGTATTAAAGTACTCAAAATGAATAAAAGTATACTATGGACCTAGACAAGTAATAGTTCACAAAAGGGTTAATATAACTGGATAATAACCATATGAAAAAGCATTTGCACACTAAAGTATTTATGGATGAAATCATATGGTATCTGGGAGTTACTTCAAAAAATATACAAGAGGATAGGGGTTTAAATATAGCAAGACTGGCCACAAATTGATAATTATAGAAGCTAAATGGTGAGCACAAAGATATTCACTATGTTATTGTCCACTTTTATGTACATATTCAATATCCCATAATAAAAATCTATGAAGCAAATGACTAGCAATCAAATATAATACATTTCAATGTGGGTTTTTTCCTGCCAATTTAAATGGCAAAAACATGGCAATAATGAACACCATAAAATGGCTACATGTATGAATACATACATCTGTCCAAGGAGCTAGAAAATGGAAATTAATATTTCTGCAGTGTAATTCTCTGGCATATCAAATCTTAATTGAAAAGTGATTGTTAAATCATTATCAGAAGGAGTCACACTCAGAACTGAAAATATTTATATTATCCATGCTAATAGTAAAAATTAATATTTTCTAATAAATTCTGCAGAACAAGGAATTAAGTTATTTTAATATTTTAATGTGGTTGAAATGTCATAAAACATTAAACTATTAGAAATGGAGACCATAAATTATGTCATTTTAGTGAGGATTTCACCGATTTCCCAGATGTTCTGTACTTCAATGAAACAGAGAAAAACAGTTGGTTAAAACTATTTAAGGAGGCCAGGTATGGTGGCTTATACCTGTAATCCCAGCACTTTGGGAGGCCAAGGAGGCGGATCACCTGAGGTCAAGAGTTCTGAGACCAGCCTGGCCAATATGGTAAAACACTGTATCTACTAAAAATACAAAAATTAGCCAGGTATGGTGTCGGGTGCCTATAGTCCCGGCTTCTAGGGAGGCTGAGGCAGGAGAATAGCTTGGACCTGGGAGGCGGAGGTTGCAGTGAGCTGAGATCACGCCATTGCACTCTAGTCTGGGCAACAAGAGCAAAACTATGTCTCAAAAAATACATACACACACACACATACACACACACACACACACACACACACATACACACTTAAGTAATGTTTATTTTCTTAAACAAAAATGTTTAGGCCAGGCACGGTGGCTCACACCTGTAATCCCAGCACTTTGGGAGGCCGAGGAGGGCAGATCACAAGGTCAGGAGATTGAGACTAGTCTGACCAACATGGTGAAGGCCCGTCTCCACTAAAAATACAAAAATTAGGCATGCGTGGTGTGCACCTATAATCCCAGCTACTCAGGAGGCTGAGGCATAAGGATCGGCTTGAACCCAGGAGGCAGAGGTTACAGTGAGCTGAGATCGCACCACTGCACTCCAGCCTGGGCGACAGAGTGAGACTCTGTCTCAAGAAAGAAAACTTAGTGTTGCAGTGGATAGCTGTACAGCACATCATTGCACAGGTGAACATGCATATCTCAGACTATTTAAAGCTGTAAGTAGTTGGGGGGGAAGAAAAATGTTTCTCAATTACAGACTTAAATATTATACTTTTAAAATGTTTTATTATGGAAATTTAAAAACATTTACCAAATTAGAGAGAGCATTACAATGAACCGTCACATATCCCTCACTGATTTTCAACAATTTATCAACACATGGCCTATCTTGTTTCATAAAATACATTCAGCCACCCTCCCTCCACAAATTGAGTTATTCTGAAGCAAGCCTTAGACATTTCATTCATTAATATTACATGTAGTATATATCTCTGACAACAAAGACTTAAAAAAAATTACACATCAGAAAATGACTATAATTCTTTAATATCAAATTATTTAGTCAATGTCTTAAATTTACTTGGAAAAAACTTTTTTTAACAGTTGGTTTGTTCAAACCAATAGACCCACACACATTGCATTTGGTTAACACATGTCTTGAAGTATCTTTAAATCTATGGGTGTCTCTCACTCTTTTTTTCTTCCCATTTACTTATAGAAGAAAACTAGTAAACTGTGCTATAGTTACCCACATTCTGTATTTTGCTAATCGTATGGTCCTCTGTCCCTTGCACTTCCTGAAAATTAGACTTGAAACCTAGGCTTGCTCAGATTTAGATTTTATTTTAGAAAGTAAACTTCAAAGGCATATGGTATACCTCCTACCACACCACATCAGAACACACAAAGTATCTGCGATCTCTTCTTTGAGATGCTAAGATACATCAGTGGATAGATGCGGTCTACTTGATCTACTTATTATAAAGTCTCCCATCGGCATTTCAGTCTAATTGTTTTAGCAGCCACCAATGATCACTATCTCCATCCATTATTTTATTTAGGAGCTGGAAAGTGCTGATAGTCTATCATTCCTTTTTCATCTAAAAAGAAATGTTTTCCACCACCTATGTATCTGAGGTACAATTCATATTTTTAAAAAAGCAGGATAAGGCTGGACACAGTGGCTCACACCTGTAGTCTCAGCACTTTGGGAGGCCGAGGCGGGTGGATCACTTGAGATCAGCCTGGCCAACGTGGTGAAACCCCATCTCTACCAAAAATACAAACATTAGCTAGGCGTGGTGGTAGGCACCAGTAATCCTGGCTACTCAGGAGGCTGAGGCAGGAGAATCATTTAAACCCTGGAGATAGAGGTTGCAGTGAGTCTCCCGGGATCAAGCCATTGCACTCCAGCCTGGGTGACAGAGCATCAATCTCAAAAAAAAAAAAAAAAAAACCCACAAAGATTAGCTGGGTGTGGTGGCACATGCCTGTTATCCCAACTACTAAGGAGGCTGAGGCACAAGAATCTGGGGCACAAGAATCGCTTGAGCCTGGGAGGCGGAGGTTCCCATAAGCTGAGATCATGCCACTGGACTCCAGCCTAGGTGACAGAGTGAGACTCTGTCTCCCCACCAGAAAAAGAAAGAAAATGTGCATAGATAGAAATGAGAAAAATGTGCAGACACACTAGAAAAAAGCTAACGGAGAGAATGAGGGGGGAAAATGCTAAATGGCCACATATATTGCTAAGCAAATATGCTGTATGAAACCGCTGCATTATTTTACCACAAGTGAAAAGACTACAGCAGTTTTGCCAAACTGTTAGCTTACGTTAACCACAGGAGGGCAGTGTTTATCAAACAAAACCTGATTCCTGCAAAAGTAATCACGGGTAATAAAAATAAAAATAAAAATAAACCTGATTCCACTGAAATGTTCATGGAACTTTAAAGTACAATTTTAGAAACTGTGACAAGATGAATAACCACTGAGAAGAATTAAAAATCAACACTACGCAGATTTAAATCTAGATTTTAAAAGGGTGCTTAATATAATTACTTCTTAGCTTATAGATTCCCAATTCAGTTAATAAAAAGGATTTGAAAATTATATTTTTGAGCAGTCAAGAATAATTGAGTTGCCTCTAAGATTCCAGTTTGATTCTAGCCTAAATAACAGGAATATTTCAATTATTGTTGCACTATGAGTTCATTCCAGATATACAGATGTGCACAGTGTGAATTCTGTATAATCTACATGACTGTTATATTCAAAATGTCCAAATTAATAATAATACAGTGATCTCTACATAGAGTTGTATCAGTGTCATAAGGCTCATTTAACGTCCCAAAGCGTTAATTAGGGTAACTTGTGCTACAGCAGTAAATCAGATCAGCCAGCAATAGAGAGTGAGAAGACGAGGGCTTATGCTACAGAACAATATATAACCTTTGAGAGCCAGAGAAGAAAAGCTAACAAATAAACTAACCAGAGGGATAAGAAAAAACCAGAAACTTTGGTGTTTCAGAAAAGACAAAAGTATTCTAAGGTTTAGGTGGTTAACAATGGCAAATGCTGCCTAGAAGCTGAGATAACAACAGAAATGTATCCCCTGTATTTAGCAACAAATGGATCTTAAGTAACTTTGTAAATTTAGATTCCACTTAATCCGGAGGGAAGACAACAGATGTAAAGGGATTTAGCACTCACTGGGAGTCTAGAGGTAGCAACAGGGAATTAAAACAACTCTTTCTAGGACAATAAAGGAAACAGAAAATGTGGAATTGAGGAATAATTGTCTTGTCAAATGAAGTTTCACTGAACCAGGATAAAGGGAGACCCAAATATCCCTTAGATATATCCCATCTCCCTGCTTCCCACCAGTATTTCCCTGCCTGTATTTCGGACACAGTTTTTGACAAATTCCTCATTATCTGCACTTAAGCCATTATCTGAACTTGAGCTACTAGTTCAGATTTGACACTCAAGAACAAAGTGAATTCAGAGGATGGATGTGGTTTCCTTCAGCCACCAAACTCATTATACACACACTCACCTGAGTTCAGGAGCTCAACACATGAGAATAGCAGGAACACGTGGTATTCAGACAGAAATATTATCCAACAGAGCCTTCAGAGGAAAGAGGGAGAAGGTCCTTACCTGGCTGTTTCGCAGTATCTGTTGATCACTACCTGTGTCCTGAGATGCACTTTTCTGCTCAGCTTCTGTCACACTAGACTCTTGTTGGTTCACTCTACTCTACCTCTCTACTAGCAATTTCCTCATTCTCCACAGTCTTTCCATGTTTGTCCTCAGGATTCTTTTCTCCTCAATTTCTACTCTCCTTGGACATTTTCGTCTTCCCATGGCTTCAAAAATAGCTATGCTCCTATAGCAGCACCCTATACATCCCCAGTATGGTTTATCACCATGCACCGGTTTTTTGTTTTTGAGACAGGGACTCGCTTTGTTGCCCAGGCTGGAGTGAAGAGACACGATCAGAGCTCACTGCAGCCTCAAACCCCCAGGCTCAGGCAATCCTCCCGCCTCAGCCTCCCAAGTAGCTAGGACTACAAGTGTGAGCCACCATGTCCGGCCTTATACATTTAGTATTACCAGTGCCTATTACATGATGGATATAAAACACTTAATGGTTGGCTGAGGAAATTAGGAACATAGGTGGCAAGATTAGCTTTAGACACTAGTAAAAATGCCTCTTCAAAAAAATAAAGGGATAAAAGGTAAGGGAAAATGCAAATACATTTACAGATTTGGGGGCAGAAACTTGAGTGTAAAAGTAGCTGATAATACTTAAATACCAAATCTATACAGAGAGGCACCTACGGATATACAGAGAAGATTACAGAAGCTGACTTCGTAAGCTCATGGGCATAGTTTACCTAGGGGTCCCTCAATTCTAAACAGCTCTATCAAGTCACTTTGGTTTAGTCTTTCCTAGCTTGGATTCTTTTAATTATCCAAAAAGTCTGGATGTTATATGCGCTCCCTAGTTCAAGAAAAAAGCTCTCAACCACACTCTCTTCAAACTAAAGAATTAATAACAGTAACAGTTAATACTTATCTAGTATTTGTCAAGCACTATTCTAAGTGATTTACATATATTAGCTTATTTAACCTTTACAATAAACCTATGAGGCAGATACTATCAGCCCATGTTTTTCAGATGTGAAAACTGAGGTCCAGAGAAATTAAATAACTTGCCTAACGTTTTGTCAGCTAATTAATGACAAGAGCCACTGCTGCTACTAAGTTGCCTAACTTGTCATCAGCAGAATCCAGCTCTCGGTACCCTATGTTACAATTCCTCAAAAAGAAGAGCCAACCATTTCAGTGGCAAGGCGGTTACACTGAACCTCTTCTGCCCTGTAGGTGACAGCAATTTGTAGCTTAACCTAGTAGATGCTCCTCAGTGCTTACACATCTAATGGTAACAGTCAAGTACAGTATATGGTAAAGACATGATAAGGAAAGGAAAAATAGGGGTTCAGACTCCTCAGGAATGATGGCTTCAGGCAAACAACCTCCATCAGCTGCAGTCTGGCCATGAGTGAAGGACATCTAGGCAGTGGCAGAGGGAGATGATGAATATCAATATGGCCTTGGAACCAGCTGC